CCTCATCAACCAAGGTACGTTTCTGAATTAAGAGATTCAAGATGGGAATGTATTTCTGTCTGTAGGAGGGCCCATGACCTGCGGCTGGAGACAGCCTAGGCTTTTCTTTTAAACCCGGGTAAAATTGTATCACTGCTCCTGCAGAGGAGTTTCTGGCCGGGGATGCAGAAGTAGCCCTGTGATGCAGAGTCTGCAGGTGCCAACCTGATGCAAGCAGAGCCCAAAGGACATGGGCGTCATCCTGGGTTCAGGGGCCGCTGGGGGCTAAGCACCACAGCTCCCACCTCTACTCTGAAAGAAGACTTGTCCTTTCCCTCCTCACAGCATGCTTTGGGGGTGGCTCATGGGTTATTTTGAGCTGATTTGAGTCTCGACACCTTCCCCACCCTGCAGTGCCATGTACATCCTGGCATATGAAGACCCCTCAGAGGCAGCTGCACTGTCCCTCCCACCACCAGGCAGCCCTGGCACATGTGGGGACGTCCCTCCCACCGCTTGTTTCCGTGTCCTGGAGCCCCAGCTCTGCCTCAGCTTTTCTCCAGCTCTGGAGCATGTTCCTTGTGCTCCAGCATTCTATAGCAAACATCTCTGCATTCCCCCTTGCCATGGCTTTGGACAAATGATGATGGTCTCAAGTATCCTGCGAAGTTTATCACCCCTGCTTCTTGCTAGGTGATGGATACAAGTGCTTTCACCAGGCATTGCCTTCCTTCCTGCAGAGCTGCTGGGCACAGCCTGAGCACAGGCAGGTCTTGGAGCTATTTTGGGCTGGGGACTTATCTGGCATAATTCTTCTGTGCTCTTCTCATGATCCTTTTCTCTTTGCTGGGTCCCTGAGGTGCCTTGCTGCAGCCATCCTGTCCTTCTTGTCATATTTCACACAAAGTTCTGCTCCAGGGAGGCCCCAGCTCAACTATTTCCCTCCTCTCCAGGTCCATTTCCCACTTGCATTGCAGCACAGCCATGCTGGGCATGGCACTGCGACTGTCGGTCCTGCTCGGTCTCCTCAGCTTTGGGAAAGGCCAGATGTTTCACATGGGACCATGCCCAGATCCATCAGTCCAAGAAGACTTTGATATCAACAAGGTGCGAAAAACTTCCTAAAAGTCTCACAGCGGGTAGTGAGGTAGGCTAAGGGGGCATGGGACCGATGGCAAACTGCCTGGGTGCATGGCTTGGTGGGGGTGGCAGGTCCAGTCTTAATGCCTCGTCCTGGAGCTGCCAGCGTGGATCTACGTCCCTGCTAATCCCATCCTGCAGCCTCCTGTGCTATGAAGGGGGATGCTCGAACAAACCGAGCCGGTAAAATGGCACTGGTGAACAAGCCAGACTTCTCCACCTCAGCCCTCTCATGCTAAAAGCGTCTCTCTGGACTTTCTTCTACCAGTATTTGGGGAAATGGTACGAGATAGAGAAGCTGCCCTCAAGTTTTGAGAAAGGAAGCTGCATCCAGGCAAATTACTCCTTGAAGGAGAATGGGAAATTCAAGGTGATCAACAAGGAGCTGCTGTAAGTGTTTGCGTTCAGGCGCGTCCTCACTGCAGTGGTGGCACTCCTGTCACTTCTCCTGCCATCCTGGGTGGACATTTTTCTCCAAATTGCCCGTTTGGGGTGTGGGGGTGCTGGGGTAGAGACACCCTGTGGTTGCAGTTGCTCTGCTGGGGTGATGGGCTTTCCTGCAGTTATGGCAGAGATGTGGGTCTCTGATTTCTGCTGGCATTTCCCTGGGGCTCGCTAGGGCTCAGTCTCATCATCCAAGGCAGGTAGTGAGAAAGTAGATCAAATGCACATGGTGACCCCAGTGTGAAATAGCCTGCATCTCCCCTCTGGCTGGTTTGTGATCCCCAGTGATGGCTGAGAAGCCAGACACCGAGTCCTGTCCCGATGGTATCATGAGGCTGCTTATGGGACGGCAGCCAATGCCTTGTGTCCCTGCGTGCTGAGAGGTGCCTGTCACCTGGCTCCTCTCTGCTCCCTAGTAAGGGGACCCGATGAAAAGGGGCAGGGAAAGTGAAGCACATGGGTCATTTTTACTTAAATAAATATTTGTCAGCCTTTTTCTGGAGCATTTAGCTTGCACTGGTAGTAACTGCTGTGTAAGGGGATCAGCAGTTGTTGCCGGTTTAGATCAGCGAGCAAAGTGAACGCATTGATTGTTCCCTTTACTTGTTTGCAATTATCCTGAGTCCTCCTGGTTTTTTGCATGGACAGATGTAGATATTAATTAATCTGTTTCCATCACCAGCCCTGGCTGTCGTGGGGTGCTGCTGCGAGTGGCTGAATGAATGAGAGGGAGTGAGTGGCGAACGCAGTGCTGTCCCCTTCGTTCCCTGGCAGGGCATAGGGACTTTGTTCTGGCTCACAATAACAACAACGCAGCCATACATCCCTTATGCCCAGCAAAGAGCAGTGTCCATGCTGCTCGCTGACTGTGCAGCACTGTCTCTGCAGCTCCACTGCTCAGGCAGCGCCCGGCAGACAGCTGGCTATTTGTTTGTGCCTGCAGTAGTCTGCAGGAGATTCATCTGACCATTGGTGTCAGGACTCTGAAACATCAGGAATATTTTGGGTCAGGTGTGTGCTGTGTGTGGTTCCAGCATCCACCCCTTGACTTCTGCAGCTGGCAGCATTAACTTCTGCCTCCTTGGGTATTGCTGTTTCAAAGGGAAGAGGGAATCTTTCACGCCCCACAGGCAGCATCCAGGTCTTGAGGCATCCAGGGAAAAATGCAATTATGAGATGGGCAGCCCAAGTCGTAGGGCTTGCTGCCAGCAGGGCAGTGCTCTGAACCAGGAGCAAAACAAACCCTGGCTCACCAAGCAGGGACAGGTAATTTGTGTGTGGAGAAATGTGCCATGACCTGGAAAAAACACAGGTGATTAAATAGACCTGAACATGTGACTTCCACAAGCACCAGGAGTTGAGCTGCTCCCTGGCACATCCAAGATCAGTGCTGTGATCCTCCTGCCCTGTGCAGAGGGGTCTTGCTCTCCCTCTTCTCTGTCACTGTCCCCCTGGCACTGAAGTACACCCCATGGGCAGGGCACTTGGAGAGATGCACCCTGGGGTGCTGAGGTGGTTTAACCAGGGAGGGCATTTGCCCCACTGCACCTGGCCTGGGACCTAGTGTGCCCTGGGTGCTGCTGAAATCACCCCCAGGGTTGAGCTGTCCCTCCAGGGATGTTAGCTGGTACAGGTTTCAGCCACCTCCTGGCACGTGGATGCATCAGGAGGGATGATTTAGAGGAAACAAACCAAGCAAAAAAGTGATTTCAAACTCACCTGATTTCTCACCTTGTCATTCTCCCCTTAGTTCCAACGGCAAAGTCAGTGAAGTCGAAGGAGAAATCAGGCACATGGATGTAAAGGAGCCGGCCAAGCTGAGCGTCCGCTTTAACTGGTGTAAGTGTGTGTCTGGGAGGCTTGCAGCCTCCACCAGCTCCCTGCTGCCTGCCCGAAGCAGGGTCTGCTCCCATGTCACGAGGGGTGCAAAACTAGCAAAGCAGGAGGGGAAGCTGCCCCGGTGACTTGAGTACAGCATGACAGGGCAATGGCAAAGGGTTAGGACATACAACGTGACCAGCAGGCAGTGGTTTGGTGATACTTATACATCATTTATAGCAACAGCCTCCGCAGTGGTGAAGCATTCTTCACCAGCAGATCTGAAAGCAGGGGTGAGCAGCATTACTGTTCCTCCAGGTCATTTAACAGATGGGGGAGGGAGCCCCACAGCTGCCATAAGGGCCACAGCAGTATATCTACTAACCCATCCTGCCTCTGCTTAAAAGGGCCTTTTAATAACCATTAATAGTGTGTTTCCATTTGCTTTTTCTTCCCTTGTCAATGTAACACACGACAGGGGCCTGCCAAGGTGCAGAGCATTTTATTCCTGTTGCGCTACAGCAGCATGTGGATAGTGAGCAGAAGTCTCCTCTTGGCTCTCATTTTATTCTGCTCCCTCACACCTTTTCCTTGGCAGTTTCACAGCACACACAGACAACCTATTTGGAGAAATGGGTGGAGCATGGGGACTTGCAAAGGACAATTATTGCTCATGAGCACAGCCAGACTTATTTATGTGCTGCTAAGGCATCACCCGCAGCGTGTGCAACCCCAATTCTCCTCACTGGATGTGAGTCTCAGAGAACAGTGACCAGGATTCCTGAGTGCACCAGAAATAAATTCCAGGGAACTTAAGACTGCCTGCTGGACCCATCTTTGCTTTCTGCCTGATGATTTGAAGGTGGAGTAGCTGTCCCTCACCAGAGCAGATGCTTTGGGTGTAGCAGCCTGACAGAGAACAGAACTTGGCCCATGTGGCTGGTGCTGGTGGGATGGATTAAGCCATACTGATCCCCACCACTGGGGCTCCAGCTGCCTGTGTGGTGCTGTGGGTGGTGAGGAGGGAAGAGGTGGTCCTCAGATCACCTGTGTCAGCTCCCAGCTCTTGGGCTCCTTCCCACCAGCAAGTTTCCTCACACGGGTACAAGCTGGTTGTCGGTGGCCTGGCCGAGTTGTTCAGGTCATAGTGTTGACTTGCCAGCAATACCTTCCTATTCAGGGCTTTGTGGCTTTCTCGAGTCCCTTGGGGCAGAACAAAGAGTCCTGATAGGCTTGTGTAAATTATAAAATACTGACCACAGTTAGCTGGCTCAGGAGCAGCAAAAGGGTCCATAGCTCTAGTGCTACAGAGCAGTCCAGAGCAAGTTATCCGTGGCATTCACAGGGCCCTTCTTTCTCCTAGTCATGCCTTCTGCCCCTTACTGGGTCATCTCCACCGACTATGAAAACTACTCACTGGTTTACTCTTGCACCAACATCCTCTGGCTCTTCCACATTGACTACGCCTGGATCTTGTCAAGAGCTCCCGAGATGCACCCAGAAACCGTGGAGCACCTGAAGAGCGTTCTCCAGTCCTACAAGATTGACACCGAGAAAATGATGCCCACGGATCAAGTTAACTGCCCTCCCGAGATGTAACTCCTGGCACGCCATGACACAGCACTAGACCAGTGATGAACTTTGTTGCTTTCGTTATTATCCATTCTCTATGCAACAGAGAAATGTAATAACCTCTTTGCTAATGGTAGTGTGCCAGCCCTGAGTTACCCCTTGCTATTGTTCCCTCTATCACTCTCCTCGCTTTTTCATCTCGTTTTGACTTTTGCAGAGCAACTGACTGATTCAAAGCTCACGGGTGAAGAAAAGAAACCCCAAAGTGCAGGCGTTGTTGTAAGTCCCCCATTATGTGGACGGGAAAGGATATGAGATGTGATGTGCAAATGTTAGCCCCAGGGGAAAACCTTTCCCAACGTGCCCCCAGGTTTTTCCTCATTTTTGTCTTGATGCTTCTGGGCCTGCTAGGAGTCTACAGTGCCTGAGCCATGTTACGTGCTCTGCCTTACCAGCAGCAATGCCCAGAAATGGGGGGTCAGTCCTGCAGCATGGGAACCGAGACTGGAGGGTCTTTCATGTTTTCTGGTGCAGGCCTGTAGGTGTATGTTACTGCCAAGACCGCAGACCTCCGCACTAGAGATCAGATCTGGCCCTTTGTATTTAAAGTTCGAGAAGTCTAAAAATGTCCAGAAGTTCAGCATCACTCTATCCCCACTGTCTGTACGTGAGTTGCCTCCAGTGAGGCTGGTCCTGCTCTCCTGAGAGGTCAGCTCTGAGAGTACCCATAAGCAGACAAAGTCAGGTCTGCTCCCTTGTCCTCTCCTCCCAAGGCTTTTCCTGAACGCCGAGAGACAGCAGGCTCTGCCGGACACCCTGCTCACCGCTTCTGTACACGCCCAGTGCCCGCTGGTGCTGCATCTGCCCTGGCAGGTGTTCACCAGGCACCACAACAACTCTGCTTGAATAGCATTGATGCAACTAATTAAAAATGAAATCAAAACGTACTCTTTGGGGCTTTTGTACCTTCCCAGACACATAGCCTTTTTGAAGAGGTGGGGTGGGAGGCTTGGCATGCAAGGTCCACCCCTCCTCTGAGGCCAGGGCACTT